CACCGTAACCATTGAGAAAAATTCCCGGAATCGATCCGTGATCAAAATGAATACAAACGGAACACACGACGGAACTAACGAAATCCGACCGATTCCAACTGGGAAAATTTCGGAAGTTCCAATCTTCCTGAAATCGTGCGCAGATTTACCGGCACCGTCACATCTCGTCATTCTGGATAGTCGCACCCGCAACAAAGTAAATTTCCAGCCAGCTTCCCTAATGCCAATAATCTCACGCACTGCTTCAAAATCATTCACTATACCAACGCAGACGCAAACAGATCCCCACCTGACTACTATAAACTTCAGGTATTTTGAAGACTTCTTCCTCGAAATCAACGGAGAAAGACCCTTGAAAGTCTTTTTAATTCATTACCTCCCATTTGAGGGAATAGTTGTCTAATTCGAGTTCGAATATAAGTGGAGAAAAAAAAGTTAAACTCAAACTAAATCTAGAAATAGATCTAGTTTCAGTTTAACTTTTCGATATATGCGACATATTAATACATATATACCCTTCACCCGCATCCACATTTGAGCACTCCTCCATAGTATCAATCACCCACACCCTCAGCTTTATCCTCATTTTTGCTCAAATCCATCTGGGTTTATTTTGCTTCGGCGCGTTTTCCGTCTAGAATGCATATATTCATTCCCGGGTACACGTTCACAGATAGATAAATCTAAGATTTACATCTTTTGAATCAAATCCACTCGCAATCAGGAAAAACTAAACTTATTTAGATAATTACGCCAAATATAAATTTCAAATATTTCACAAGAGTTGAGCAATTATTTCATGACCTTTCTTTGGAAGAACTTGAAGATATTTACCATTTTCGAAAACTGTTTCAACTTTTCTGATCGAGACAACGTGTAACTATTCTATAAGTTTGAAAGGTCTGTAGTCTTATAATCACAACAGCTTTTTAACTGAGCGGCTAGTATTGTTTCATATATGCGGTGAGCGTGGTCCTTCTGAACACTGCATGATTGATTGAAAGCTTCGCTTCATTATATAATTATTAGATGAAAACAAAAGTTATGGGACTAATTTAATTCAGTTTCATCTACATATGAAAAAAAATACTCACAATTTTGAGAAGAATAAGACAAGATTCCTGAGTACTTGGGCAGTTTACAAACGTTCGTAGATGCGCTAATCTAGAATTCTTCGTGCTACAATAAAAGTTGACATACCAAGTAATTATAAACTGAAGATTTCGAAAAAAAGTCTTCAATGACTTAGTGTTTATACACAAAATGCAGACATGCAGTTATGTTCAACTGTTTGTTGAAAAGGACCTTAGTGCAGCATTCTCCAAAACCATGTTTGTTTAAATAATAAAATTTTCGTACGCAATAAAACAAGGATATATCCAGATGAGCAGCTAGTCGCTCGTCGGCGACCCTCTGGGATGCCAATCTCGAATAGCCATTGCCAAATTAATAATCAACTTCACCGCAAGATGCCTATAGCCGATGCATAATAAAATCCAATATAAGCATACGATATATATATATACCACTATCAACATCATCGAATGATACCCTATCACGAAAATACGATGATCTAAACAGCTCCTAATGCATTATAAACTAGCTTGAACTAGAAAAGATTATTAAGCATTTAATGTTCGATCCAGCGACAGTCGCTACCTTATTTGAATCAACTTCATTTATTTGTTTAGGATCATAATCACTAATAACGTCGTTGTGGTACTCCTAAACGCTTTCGAAATAGCAGTCACTCGTCAGTTGCTGACCATTTAGTTTTACTTTTTCAAAAAGCTGAGTGTGGGTGTTGGTATTGGTGTGTATTCCAACGGCCTAGGGTTAAAATATCTCGCGGGTTGGATGCTGTTTCTTCGTGTTATAAAAATTTCAAAATTTGAAAGAAATCGATTTTCCAGCTATTTTGATGTATGCGAAAAAAGAGATTCTTACCGAATCCCCTGCTCGTATAAAGCTTTCTAAAATAGTTTTGTATTTGCAAACTTGTTTATTAGATTCCTCTCTATGGGATGACATTTTTTTATTTCAAAAGAAAACTCCGTTTTCGTAGAGTCTGAGGCTTCAACATTTGTCTGAAATGGTTCTTTTCAAACAATGAAAATAGAGTATTCGGGAAAAACGAGGGTGTGAGTGCGAGTGCACTGAATCCCGAGAATTCCTAGGAATAGGTGTGCATTTGTTTCGGCAATTCCGGAATTGTGCCGGAAATGATAAACGGAATTGCAGGAATTAGATGGAATTAGTTACGTGTGTGGAACTGATTTCGGAATATTCAACATTGTGGAATAGGATGTACTCTCTAATGAAAAACATTTAATATTCAAATGAGATTAACAATTGTTACATTAACGATGTCCACACATGAAAATTGAACGAATTTTCTATAAAGTAAAAATCTGATAAACTTGGCAATTATCTTTATCAAATTGTTCAGCTATGGGTTAAAATAAAATAAGCTAATGCATTAAATTCTTGCGGTAATTGATTAAGTATCTATTAAAATAAATTCTATAGAAAGAAAAAATTACCTCCTCACACCATTCTACTGTATGTAAGAGGGTTGAAAAAACTATAGATTGTTCGACTTTGAAATGGATAGCCAACTGTTAATTATTGTTTAATTAATGAACGTAAACGATAGAATAAGAAAAACTCATATTTTTTCCTCATATATTCATTGTTCCATAGTTATTCTTAAGATATAGATAAATAATATTTAGTGTTAATCGATGTAATAGTTCTAATAAAAGAGATCCAATATATCAAATGATGATGGTTAATCGACTAATGGAGACTCATCGTGTTTTAAAGATTAAGCAAAAACGATTGAACACTATCATTCTGATGGATTACGATAACCATTGGATGTTGTTGAACTGATCGATGAAATAGTGTTTTCTATGTTCATAAACAACTAGAACGAGGATGAGTTCTCTACTTCTAAGCATCTAAACCATGATTGGAATATTGAAGAATTTATAAAATAACGTAGAGAAAGTAAATCTTAAAATTCTTTGAATTTATTTCCTTATAAACAGTATGTTTATCTACAAATGATTATTATACTTCAAAGAAAACAATTGATATTAAATATGGCAACATCGGTTACTATTATTAGATATTGGTGTCATGTTTTGAATATCCACTATTGTCGAAGATCTTCTTTTTACTACATCTTTCATAGTATCAATATTTTGCATCATCTAGAAACATTAGAAAAAAATTCTTAGTACAAAAACAAATGACATGCGTTTTCTTACTTCTTCCAGAAGAGTTAAAAATACTTTTCCAATATTGATATTATCTCTTGCAGATGTTTCATACCAACGAGTAAATTTATTTCGTTGACAAAATTCTGTCATTTGTGTTTCACTTGCTATAATCCCTTCTTTTAATAGATCACACTAAAATATCATTGTTTCTATCAGTTTCATAGTGAAAAACACAATTAATTTTTACTTTATTGCCAACCAGTAAACATGGTACTGGAGTATTTTCATCAACGCTAACTTTATTATCGAAATCAACTTTCCATTTAGCTGCGCCATTCGTTAACGTAGTTGGTTTCGACACATCAAATACAATTAAACATCCAGCTGCACGTTTATAATACAAATGTGTCATGATACCGAATCGTTCTTGACCGGCAATATCCTAAAAAATAATATTATTAATTAAGCCCTGAAATTTTTTTAGCGTATTTTCTACAAAACCCATATATGCAGATTAACAACAGTATGATCATTATATTGGATTTTTTTCATCGCAATATCTGTGCCAATCTAGAATATTTTTATTTTTTAATTGATATTCTTATTGAAAAAAAGAATAGCATACAGTACTACGATAAGCTCCGGCAAAACTATTACTAACATAACGTTGTATTAATGCTGTTTTACCAGTTCCAATATCACCAATAACTAAAACTTTTAATGTATATTCTTGCTTTGTATGTGCAAGAGACATCGACGAAGATTTTGCAGGCGATATAATTCTCCGTTTCATAATCTATAGAATTTAAAAATATAAAAACAAGAATATGAAAGCATACGTAACTATATATACTTCATTAATTAAACTTTGAAGTGATTGCTTAATATTAGTATTATTCATATTTGATATTTTATAATAACAAGAAAAGCCAACAGCTTGACAATAATTTTCCATAGCATTCATTGCAACATTTAATACATTATCTAATTCAAGATCACACTAAATATTAAAATAAAATAACCAAAGTAAGATTATTAGTTTATTATTGAACAAACTTTATTTGCTACTAATAAACACGGTAGTTTATCTGGTGAATTGACACTATCAATAAAAATTTTCCAGCCTATTACATTATCATATGTCTCACCACGAGTTATATCAAACATAATGATGTATCCATCTATATTTTTAAAATATTGCTTTATTTTTGTTTTACCGCGTTGTGAACCAGCAATATTCTAGAGATAGATTTCTTTTTTGTTAGATGAAAATATTCTTTTTGTTTTCCAAAAAAAGTCGTTACAAAAAATTGTATGGGAATGTCAGTATTTTGATCAATTTTGATTTTCGCTGAAATAATATCACATTCGTCCTATGCCAAAAACAAATGATGTCATTTGTTGATTTTACAAAGGATTTACACTTACATTCGTTCGAGTATCGGTAGTAAATATATTATGTGTAAGTCTTTTCAAGTAACAATGTTTACCAGTTGCACTATCACCAATCAGAACAATTTTAAGTTGATCAGTGGAAGAAGAAGATGACGATAATGATGCACTTGCAGTCATGTAAAAGTTTAAGATATCTCGTTCTATTTTGATTGAAATTGAATAAACGAAAAGATGGTGTGCTTACGTATGAAGATAGATAAGAATAGAAGAAGTTGCATGTTGGAAATGAATCATATATTATCAGTGACAGTGTGAGTTTTTGTAAAACTAAGATTCAAGTTTTTGATTTAAAATATATTCAAATTTGTAAAGAATAGAACATACTTTAGAGGGTAACAGTAAGAAAAATATGAAATTGACAGAATTGATGATAGCTATATGTTTTAGTTGAGAAGAGTAATAATAACTTTGGACTCGTTAATAATTTTTTTTGACAATCGTGTATTCAGAGCTCTCGTATGCCCTTGATAAATTTGATAAAAACAACAAAAACTTTATCTTTACATAGTAGAATACACGTTTTAGTACAATCTTTAAATTCTGTCTTGCTAAATCGTGAACCAACAATGTGCGGCACCGCTATAAAAACTCAGATCCATGCCTTGCTCTCAGTGTGTGTAGAATACTATGACATCTTTTGGAGAGAGAGAAAAAGGAATGCGCAAGAAGTTTTAATTGGATCGACTTTAAGAATTGAATGTTGTGTGTTCTCATTTATTCTTTTTTCTTCTCATCCATAGTTAATTAAATCCAATCAGCTATTCTATTACCAGATGGCTAAATAATTATTTCACTGTCTTCGTATAATATAGGACGTGCTTTAAAGAATATTTACTTAGATTTACTCCTGTTTGATGTTCCTTACTAATTAATATGTAGGTATGAATGAGAGAGAGTGCAATATCGTTATTGTATTCGCATTCATACCTTACTCACTAAATTAATAGTTTTGTATCTCCACTGAATGTTTTAGTAAAAGAGAAAACTTACTCATCATAATAATAAGTCAAAAGAACGAAAGAAAGGTCACATTTAGAATATTTTTACATAGTATCAATGCGCTTAGTTGATGATTTTTTGTTGAAGATTATAAACAGATTATGCGTGCCAGTATTTTGCTGAGTTCCCATATTAGTATAGATGATGCTTGACTTCAAAGCAACTTGATTGGAGTAGCCGTATTTTGACGAAATAGAGATATGTCTATAGGTATACATCTAGCTATCAGTTGTAGCTACGGCTTAAGTGAAGTACTAGATAAATACAACTGATGTTTTGACATATTACAGAGATTTATTTCTCAAAAAAAAAAACTTTTTTTACAAAAGAAAGTCTTGCTCTTTCCTTTACGAAGCAAAAGCTCAACATACATTATGTTATATTCATCGGTGTTTCTATAAATGATACACGATCTTATTTAAAAATTGTTAAGATATATTAATGTAGTATTATATAAATAAATTCGCTTTTGTTAACTAGAATACGATGCATAGACTCAGTCGATGTCTGCCTCTCCAGTACGATCATATTTCTCAATATAAGGTACGGAAAGATGAAGTCGTAAAACTGAGTCATATAATATAAAAAAATATAACCGTATTTTAATTTTCTATTATTTAACCTTGGATACTATTGCTTGTTTGTCTTGAATCCGTGTAGGTAGATGCTAAGTTCTGTTATGACAGACAGTCATTTATACCATAGTTATCATCGGCTAATATACGCTACAGGTAGATCTAAGGTAATTTCCGTTTTCAAAACATGTACTTTCAGTGAAGGAAATAAACGAAATCTTTCAGATTTCCACTAGATGTAACTTGTAGAAAATTTTTCAACGCTATCATAAATCATGAAATAGAAAGTTCAAGAGAACGCTTTCTTTTTGCAGTAAAATTTCACCAACAAAACGTAGTCTACCATATATTGTTTTACATTTTCCACACGGCAGGTTTTAATGAAAATATTACTTTGTAAAGCTAGAACTCGGAATCTTTTGAAATAGTCCCATAGCAGACTAATCAATATTATCTTACCAGAATTTCAGAAAAGTATCTGGCTAACGGTTCATGCAAGAAAACAGTCATAGTCTCTAATATTCAATTATTTTCTTTAATGTGTTTGTATCGAATGTTTATATCAAGTGCATCGCTTTCAATTCGAAATAGAATAAAATAAATCATTAGACATAGAGGATATCACACATCCATTTTTCAATATATGTGATCACCATCGTATTCACACGTTCTTGAATTGAGATGAAAATAAATGCGCCATCTTAATTTATTATCAATGTATTTTGTAGAAAATGTTCAAACGAAACTCACAACAATATAATACGTAGTACATTACTAACAGTTAACTTTTTATAATATTTTATTGAACGTTAATCGATGACCATCATAATTGATGACTCGAAATTGTTGATGCGTAAAATTGCGTTCAAATTTTATCGTCATTCATAGGTTTATCTACAATAAAAATAATCGTATTTTCATATGAACAAAATGATGTTATCTCATTTATTATGTTCTTGTCGTTCTTCATATAAGTACCCTTTTTCATTTTCTTCCGCAAATAAGAAAAAGAATATAGGCAAGAACAAAAGCAAGCAGGCATTACATGATCACACAATATTAAAAGAGTGAAAGTAACTTATCAAACGAAATGCACAAGCAACATACAATCAACTCGTTAATATTATTTATCACAATTTTCACATGTGTTCATAGTTTTGAAATATTTATCAAGAAAACTAACAATAAAAATGATTCAAATATTGAAGAATTCAAATCTTTTCATAATAAAACTTATAATATGAGCCTTTTCCAAACACGATATATTACAATACAAGTTAAACCAAATGATCTCAATCATGACCATCATACTAATAAGCGTACTGCTATTGGATTTCAATTTCAAGTAAAATCAACAGATATCCGAGTACTTGATGTTAAAAAGGACGTTATTGTACCATCAAAATTAGAAAATACAACAAAATCCAAAAATATTCTATTAGAAGATTTATTTATCTGTAAGAAAAACGGCTTTATTGAATTCAAATTTCTAGTACTTTAAATTAGACTTTCTTTGTTTGATTATAAGAATATGTTGCGAAAGTGCCACGATAACAAAATAGATTCTTGATTATTGCGGTAGGCAGCAAAGCTGTAAGTCTTACTAGAAGAGTGAAAGCTTTATCTATAGTGCATATTTCTTATCACGGGTCCGCACGATGCTTTCAAGTGTCACATTTTATAAAAAACTAAAATATTTTTATTTACAAGTATGAATATCAGATGTATCTGTATCATTGATATAAAAATATTATTCCACTAAATAAGTCCATTGTGATAAACACGATACAACTGATTTATTAAATAGATATAGATAAAACGAAAATGTAGTTAATGAAGAAAAAAATGATGAAAATTCTAATCGTATTTTGATGAGAAAATAAGTAGCATTTATTTAATGCATGTAATCAAAGATTAAATTCATGATACAAATACAATAAAAAAATCCTTGATACTTGAGTAAGAGTGTTTCTTTATCATGACTACGAATACCTATAATTCATTTTATCACAATATTGTTGAGTTATAAATTTGTTTCTCTTCGAATAAAATGAAAACCTTAAAACAGACGAAAACATTTTTATGTTTATTTTCAAGAAAAATTTAATTTAATTTCTAGTACCCAATAAAAATGCACTCGGGCATATTTTCAATGCATATCCATCACCAACATTAATTCGAATTGAGAATCTAACTGCGTTTGATATAATATGGTCGATAGAAAGTACTGTGATGAATGTAACAAATCTGACGTTTTCTTTGAATATATTTTACGATGACGACTCTGTATCATCTAATACATGGCTATTACGAGTTGCTGTTATACCACCGCAGCGTTTAATCGATAAATTATTCTATATAATATTACCTATTCTTATTATATTTATCTCTATACAAATGGGTATATTACTCGATACGACAATTTTAATAGGTCTTGTTAAAAATCCCAAACCGGTTATTATTGGATTTCTGGCTCAATACGGTTTAATGCCATTCTTAGCAATGGCTATTGCAAAAATTTTTCGTTATTCACCATTATACAGTCTAGCACTTTTTGTTATTGGATGTTGCCCAGGTAAAATAAATAAAAATAATAAGAACAAAAGAACATACACACGTATTGTGTTATGTCAAATAGAAAAGGATCGAATATCTTGTTTTTTTTAGGTAGTGGTGCTTCAAATCAATGGACCATATTATTCGATGGTGATGTTAATCTATCAGCTCTTATGTCATTTGTGTCAACTGCTGCATCATTTGTTATGATGCCACTTTATTTTTATACAATAGGTCGTATTTATATGGCAGAATTATCCATCACGGTACCATTTCTGGGCCTTTGTCGTTCATTAGCACTTGTTGTTATACCATATGGTCTCGGTATTTTTATTAGTTATCGTTCATCGAAAATTCATAAAATAGTTAAAAATCTCGTTAAACCCATGATGCTATTTCTTTTGTTATTTTTTCTTATCTTCGGATCAATTGTTAACTGGTATTTGATTGTTACAATTGATTTATATACAGCATTAACGGCGCCATTGTTACCTTATTTAGGTTTTATACTTGGTGCTGCAATTGCTTGGGTGTTTGGACTTAATTGGTGTCATATAAAAACAGTTGGCATTGAAGCTGGAATTCAAAATACTGGTATTGCATTCATGATTATGTTTTATTCATTTCCCCAACCGTATGCATCACAAGCAATTGTTGTACCACTTGTTGTAGCATTTTTAACAACAAAACCATTTTGGGTTGCTTACGTGATACGAAATCAAATAATTAAATATAAAAAGAGACAATCAAAAAACCCAAAACAGGCTTTGCCATCAGAAGTGGATGATAAGGTAAAATCGAATTCGAACATAGAGCAGCCACAAATAAATGAGAAAATAGATGAACAAGAAGAAATTGTCGATCTAATGGAAAATTTTGTCAAGTAGAAAAATAAGAAGAAAATATCATACAAATCGAACAATTGTTATTGTTATTTGAATTATTTTTATTTGCTTTCCTTTTTTTATTTCCTTAATGATGTTTGTATTGGTGTTCGCCTATATCTATATATTTGTGCTGTGTCGATTTCTTTCTCTCTCTCTTCATTGCCTTTTTTCTTACTATTTCTTTTTCATCCAAGTAATCAATAAACTAGGACAGCAAAGAAAGAAAGAAAAAGCCCTTGAAAGATAATAGAATCAAAAGTTAATGGACTTCATTGTTTAATTTGCCTATAACAAGAATGACTACTGTTGATTCACGACAACAATTTAAATATGAATTTATAGCAGGCATATCATTAGTAAGTATTTTTATCCTATTTAGTTAAACAATCTTTTTATCATTCGAATCAATTTAATTAATAAAAACATAAAACTAACGAACTCTTCCAAGTTCTATTGAATGTTTGTTTTTTTATTGTTGAATCAGATCAATCCAAATATGGATACAAATACAGAACGTCAAACTATCCATACTAAATTAAAAAATAGACCCAATTCAATATCATTATCTGTTTCAAGTGCCGAACTATCTGAGAAAAAACAATTAGAACTAATTGGCTTACAGTTACGACCAAAAACATCATCGAATACTACCGATATTCAGTTAATAATTACAAATTCGAAATCTTCTATTGCTTCAAAAGTTAAAGTTACCAAAGTTGATTATCCAATGTTACACTTATCTAGAAGAATACCTTGGCTGGCAAAGCGAAAAGTACCGGAAAATATCAGGTTAAGATTAGAATAGAATTTTATTATCAATCTTAATATGAACGCTGAGCGAAAAAACGGAAGGGAAATCGTAAAGCTATATATTTTTCATTCTCTCCCTCAAGTTTATCTTCAGGCGAAATGCACTTTTTTATGGTTTATTAAATCAAATTAAATCGGAATTATTTAAAAAAATGTTAAAAAGAACAAGTTAGATATTTTTCTTAGTTATTGATACATATCACTCTATTTCAAGTAGTTCACAATGAATTGACTTTTCGATGTTTTCAATAGAAGAGAAAAAAATAAAAAAGAAATTTCGTTTCTAATATTGAAATATAAATGAAAAGTGATAAATAACTTTCTATTAAATAATAAATATGCTGTAAACCTTGTCTATAAAGTAAGAATATTAATTTCATTTTGACAAATAAAAGATTATTAGAAAATCCTTATAAAATGAATATATAAAACATGATGAAACTATTGACATTGTAATGGAAGGAATTCGTCAAAAATTGCTTCTATTTGCCAATAACCACCTACTGTTGATGTCGAAAGAAAATCAAAAGACAACTACCTTAAATCTATTATCGCCGATATGTTTTTGTTACAGTGAAAAAGGCAATACTCATAAGTATCTGTCCTTCTGTATTATGAAGGAGAAGGGTTACTATGGTGTTTGCAATTAAGAAGAAAGTGCATTTCCAAGGTGTCTATTACTTTCCTATAGAGAACGAGAGGGGAAGGAACGGTAGTTAATAGTGCTGCTATACTTCAATAGACTCGTTAGATCGTATTTCACGAGAAGAACTCTATTAATTTTAGAGAAATACTATTGTTTCTTTCAAATTTTTTTTCTTTAACGCTGAGTCTCATTAATTATATAATTAAAGAAATTTCTAATCTCGACATTGCGTGGGTAAGATCAAGTCCGATTCGGATAAAAATAATGTTTATTTCATTTTTGATAGAGAAATCTCTATAATAACAAATTATGTAAACTACAGTCTTTTTTCGGTAAGTAAATATTCATAAAATAACAAAAAACTTTCGCTTAATCATTTATTCAATAAAATAAAACAGAAAATATTCAATTAAAAATTTAATTAAATTCATCTCGAATTTCTTATTTAATTCATGGCCGCGTTATTTAAATTTTTAACGATAATAAATTATCTGTATTTCTAGAACAGTGATTTCACATGTACCTTTTCTTTTTCTAGTAATTCAATATCGGACAAATTAAATACAATTTCTTCAAATCGTCGTACAAATACAACAATCCAAAGTTCAGACGATGTAGGTGAGCGCGTGTCGTTCTTTTTCTTTTATTGAATAAAGTATATCTGCATACAATCTATTTCTCCTTTTTTTTGTTCTCATACAATTGTTCCCATAAAATTTAACACATATAAATATGAGAATGTAAAATAACAAAAACATACATACACCCAGAAGACGAAAATTTTTACGTTTTTAAAATGTAACTATTAGTTTCTTTTTTTTCTCTAACAGTATGCTTTCAATTACTTTAAGAAATCGACAATGACACAACGCCCGTCAACAAATCTAACATTAAATTCATCGATAACAATTTTAAAGAAATTAACAAAGCCTTCTAATCAAATATCGCAGAGATTGTCGAGAAAAGCTCAACACTCGTTTGTAACATTAGGGCGCGATACAACACCGATTAAACTACCAACACTTTTAAAACGAACTTCATCAACAAGTAATACATAGGATAGGATCATGTGAAGAGAAAATACTTTGAAAAATATTTCTTTTTAGTTATCAAGCCTATTCCATCAGCTTATATTCAAGATTCATCGTATGTATTTGATTTAGGCGATAGTTTCTTTTTTTTTCTCCATTTCTTTGTTTTTGTAGACAGCATCAAATAAGTTCTTCAAGTTTTACCAATCGATCAGTATTACAACCGACACCGGTTCTACCGATTTATGCACCTCATCATTCAGTAACATTGTATACTGAACAACAACATTTACCATTAATAAAAGACCGAATTATTAAATCGAATCTTTCACAAAGAGCTAATCTTAAATGTAAATCTCCACTGCCCTATCGATCGGATAGTTCACTTAGTCGATCAACAACTGCTGTAATTACTGCGACCCAAGTAGCAACAAAAACACACAATCCTCTAAAGGTATAATATATTTATTGAATTGATTTTGAATTTTTCTTATATACTAAGAATTTAATTCAACCGTTCGGATTTCTAAAACTCTATTTTATTTTTGAGTAGCATATGGATGTGGGCTTTCTACTTAATGAAGCAGCACGAAATCGATTGAAACGATTATTTCAACAACTCGATACAGACCGAGATGGGTATGTGAATGAATGATTGGTTTTTTTTAATGATGACAATTTTCTCCTATTTGTTTAGTCATCTAACATATCCTCAAGTGCAAAAATGTTTACCATCAAATTTGCCTCGCGCTCAAGAAACATTTTTTCGTGTGGTTCGTTTTAAATAATTCAAATGAATTAAAGTTTTGCTAGTGATCTTTTTTATTCTAGTTATATGATATAACAATTGATTCAACTTTTTTTGGTCTACAAGAATTTTATGCCACAGCTGTACTTGTTGATATGGTAGCTAAACAAGAGTAAGAAGCAAACTTTTCTTGACTATATTGAAACAGTTAGTTTATTTTTCAAAAATAATTTTTTTAGCCCTGAATTATGGAATAAATTATTAGATGATGTTGATTTTAATTATTATCACGATGATTTAATTGAATTACTCGATGAATTTGATAATCGTTATTCGCCTGTAACATCTACAATCAATTTTGATAATCTCGTAGGATTAATTATGCATCGAGCGGCGAATGGAAAATATGAACGTGTAGCAAAAGAATTGGAAAGTCGAATCCCTATGATAAAAACACTGAAATTCACTCGATTAGATTTTATTGCTCTTATACCATTGATTATTTATATTGAATCATGTCTTGATCATGGAAAACCATTATTTCGTTTCGAAGAAAATTCTATTCTTAATTTACATATGCAAAAAGCTTTATTAGCGTAAAAATTTCTTGAAGATTTCTCTGCGTTAATATAAACAATGGCAATACTAAAACGAGACCAGTTTTTATTTTGATGAAATCAAACATTTTAAATTCAGCTAGTAACCTAACTGTTGTTTTGTTTTCGTTTTGTGTGATAGTTCTTATGATATAAATTAAGATTGATTCATGTGTTTGCTTCTATTTTGAACGCTTTATTTTTAGTTAATAAACGACGGAATGGGTTGTCAATTGAAGAATATTATACAGTTATGTCAAATTTATCGATAGAAAAGATTAGGCAATATGAATCGCTTTAAAATTTAAATGCATCCGAAGCAGAACTCTTTGTATCATGTACAAGATTTCTATGTTAAAATGCGACCTCTATCGAACGGAGTTGTAGTTCTGAGAATAGTTTTGAAAAACATATTTCCAATAAATAAATTAGTAGTGTTGTTCTACAATGAATTGCAAATTTTGTTTTAGTTTGAAATTCTAATTTATACGACTGCTGGCAATTCCTGGTAGTCTCTCCGGAACTCTCCATAACAATGGCTTACTTGGATTAAGTAAACATTTGTCATTTAGAAAAATTACCTGAATGAAAAATGAAGTGAAGGAGGAGAAGAAGACGAGAAAAAAAAGCACTCCCTGTATTTTTCTCCTATGAGAAAAGGAATGCTTCAAGAGCGGGCGTGTAATTCAAGACGAAAGAAAATGTAAAAAGGAGGAAAAACAGATTTGACATAACTGATAATTCATACTTCGCTATTAATAACTCAATTGTTATAGTATTTTTTTTCTGGTTTTCTAAGAACTAAGTGATTATTTATTTACTTTTGTTTTACTTTAGAGTGTGCATTACGTTATAATGTAATTTGTGATTTCTACTAGCTTGCGCATAAACGCCGATGTATGATGATTTTGTGTAGAATGAATTTCACATGTCTCTTAATTCTTTCGTAGTTTACATTCAGTTATAAATCACAACGATTATCATGTGTACACATTCGATAAGCGGATCAAGTCTTTTGTCAAGTTATGACGAAGATGATGCCCGTGAAACAAGTGGACGATCAAGACGAGAATTCGAACTAATCGATGCTGTTTTGTACGATGAAGAAGTACCAAAACGTTCATCAATTAAGAAAATATGTGAAGAATGGTCAAACAAACCACATTTTCGAATTCGTGGTAGTGCATGTCCTCTAAATCGATCACCAGATATGAATAGAATAGAAACAAGATCCAATAGATTATCATCGATTGATTATGCACCAAATCAGTTGAAAAAAGCGAATTCCATTTTCCATGAAGTAAATATAAGTTTAAAAAAATATTATCTAGAAGTAACTATGAAAATAATTCTCAGATTATTCATTACTTGTTCTCTAACGACTAAGATACTTTTAATGAAAATTCAAACACCCGTAAATAGAATTCAACATTGACAAAGTGTCGTCCAAGGTCGAACTTTTGTTTTCTTTTGTTTTCTACTTCTGAAGATATATATTTTTTTCTACTGTATAATCATAGTGCATTTGGCATTCACTTGAGTGTAAGGGTAGTTATCTAAACGCAAAAGAATTCATCTATAACGAAGTTAACTTATAGTAATTATGGTCGAAATATCTACCTAAGATATAAAAAATGGTACCTTTATACAGTATCCTATGATGAATTATATCGAAATATGTAGACAATTGATATTTCTTTTGATACTACCTTATTTTTTGGTATCTAAGGTAGAGTGTGTAACGGACTGCATTACTACGTGTAACATTCACAGAAATAGGATCATAATAGTGAGTTATTCAATACGTCAGTAGATGACGATTGATTTACGTTATGATTCGATGTGGAAGATCTTTTTTTCGAAGTGACGATGATTGATATTCAACTATTGAATAGCTCGATCAATTTTTTCTAGATTGTTTATATGCGAATTCATTCTAATAATTATTAGGACACTGATGATGAGCCTAAGTATACGATTTGTTATGAATAATATAATACCAATTTTTCGTTATCACTGTCATATCGTGTATATATCAGAGACCGAAACGAAGGACAAAAGTGCTATTCGGTTCGATTCGGCCTTTTAAGACCTGAATTCGGATTCGATTCGGGAGTTTCAAAGTTCCACTCGGAGTCGATTCGATTTCGGTCTCTGATATATATATATATATATATATATATATAAATAGTTGAGTAATCGTATATAATGGTATTGATTTCTATGTTACCAAACTAAGGCAACATATCCATTCAAACATGAGCAAAATAGAATAGTATGAAAAATAAAAATATGTGTAACTTGAAGTGTTTCTTTGAAACTGTTCAAACTTAGAGGATGAAATGATAGAAATTAATATAAAACTGTTCATGATCATATATATTGTCAATAGACATCCATTCATCCTAATAATGTATCATTAAAAAACAAGAAGTTTTTATTCATAGTATTCAACCATCATTTCAGATCAAATATACAAAGTTGACTTTTCTTTCTTAACATAAACAGCAGGTTTCGAATTACAAAACATATTATTTTTGTGAAATGAATCGTTGTAATATTTCATGATACCTGTTATGTTTATCTTTTATAATACCCAGGAGGTGTTGATTTTTATTTGAGCATATATCCATTATTTTTCTCCGGTTTCCTTAGAGTTGAGAAAATCTAGTCTAGACGAGTATTAATTGAAAATTGACGATGTATAACAAGCACTCCATAATGCTCATGCTTATGAAATATTGCTCATTAAATACCTATGGTTGAGGCTGCTATTATTCACTCGAAACATCTTACATAAGAATTCCTTACGTAGAATTACATGCTTGAAAAAACGCTTTCATATATAGAATGTACTAAGTGACACATAATGTTGACTAAAAACTGTAGTTTGTACATAAATCATAAACTGCTAAGAGAAACATCACTTAAACTCTTTGATTGAACTAGTAGTAAAATGTACAATAAGTTTCAATGAAAGTTAATATTCGTATACAATTCTTATTCGAATGAAACTTCAGAATTTCCTTGGCTTCATTTGTTTTTGTGATAAATAGAGTAGGAATGAAAATTAAATAAAAGTAGCAAAAGTCTTCTCGCAAAACAGAGTCTCGCCTTTTTAAATGCAGGAACTAATCATAATAATTTTAATCGGACAAGTGTATATTCGTCAGTAAGATTTAAAAAAAAAGGAGTTCAGGAGAATTTCAATGTTTCTCATTTGATTTCAAGAAAATACAGCTATCTTTGATGCACTGCATAGTTTTGCTCTCTTATGTTTGGCATAATTCTTTGAATAGATTTAAAACGATGAAGTTCAGATATTTCATTACTGTTAGATAAGTGAACTATTTTGAATAAGATCACAAAAACCTCTTTGAGTAATTCCTGCGGGGTCAAAATGCGAAACACACTTTATTTATCTTTGCTGATCACATGAAAATTTCTTTTATTTCCTGTTTCTAGAACAAACTTATTTACGCTCGTTCTATTTTATTATTGAAGATTAAAAGAAACAATCTTTTTTTGCTTGCTATTCAAACTTTATTCCTAGACTTTTAAAACTGTTTTGAGGTTTTTTTTTCATACAGTCAATACTCGTTAAAGTTTGGAAAACGTCAACAGTCATTTTCATGTCAAGTAAAATGTTATTAGATGCTTATCTAATTAACGAAACGCTTCGTAGATACGGAAAGAGAAAATTCCATTGCATCTGTTTATCATAATAATTGGTTTTGATTTTTGTTTAAAAAAACAAGAATCCCCTAGAAGAGACACGCCCGACTTATTTGTACTGGAAGAGAGTCACAATTCTAATCGTATTCATTTGGTGCTAGAAGTTCATTGAGTTGAAAATTTATTTTCAAATACACATATTGATTGATGCGATTTTCCAAAGTACAAACGTCGTTCTTTTAATTTTTTAGAAACACATTTCTACATAACAATTATGAATTTTAGCAAATACTTTGAGACTGTGCTAGAAATTATTCTACTTATCAATGAAAGTTTCATTCATACTCATAGAACTTTGGGTTAATGCTAAATATTCAAAAATAAAAGATTAAAACAATTCATTTTCTGCATTTTCTTTTAGGATCCCATTGGTGGCAGAGTTTCAGGTCGTTCATCGATCGATTCAATCGAAGGTTCTACACTAAGTGATATTTCCGATTTGGATAATCATGATGTACTTGATGATACTGATACAAGTACTATTATGTACGGTCATTTTAGCGGTAGTGAAGCTAACTCATTTGATACCGATGATGATGATGATGAAAATATTAATTATTCCTTAACTCAAACTAAACGTAATCGTACAAAAGATCCTCAACGTTTTATTAAATGCTTAAAAGATAGTATAATCAATTCCTTAGCATCCACTTTAATCCAGAAATTTTTCGTTGATGAGCAAGCACTATTACAACGTTATGCTAGAATTGCCCGTGCAAATAATTCTATTATAATTCGAACAGAACCAAGACCGTCTTCAGTTCCACCCCGTTCTTCACCACAAGGTCGTACATCACAAACAACGATACAACCAAACTTTCCAATGCCACCAGCATATCGCCCAACAACTGACACAAGTACAGAATTAGAAAGTATCTTACATGTAAAACGTTTAGGTGGAATAAAATCCAATCCTAATCAGACAGCAACTGTTTCCCCATCATCACCAAGAAAACCTCAAGGATCACTTCCACCTACACCCATCCGTGTTGAAAGAATTTCAACGTCTCTATCGATGGAGAAACGAAATCAACAACAAATCTCGTTAGTTGGTACAGCTATTACAAATCCTCCTCCTCAAGTAATATTATCGGCACCACAATCATCTCAAGCTCATACACGGCAAACAACAACCACAACTCGACGTCATGGTTCAGCAACAACAATTAGTTCTACAACACAAAGTTCGGATTCTATTATACGTTTACCACCAATTCTAAGCGAACATTTGAATAATAATGATTCAGGAATGATAAACCGTTCGCATACAATAAGTACAACAATTATTGAATCAGTTCCAACAGCAACACGAATTGTAAGTAGCAAAAGTACCACATCCAATTTTTCATCAGCAGCCAAAGCGCGAGCATTTCCGAATTTCGGAAAACTTCAAAGAACATCACGATCAATTATAATAGCTCCAAATAAAGATTTTAGTAATTCTCCTTCAATAAGTCCAATTCGTTCGATAACAGCAAATATTTCATCAAATATATTAAAAACAACGGCTGCTGCACGATCTCATCAACAACCACAACAGAAGTCTTTTGTAACAACGAAATCGTCCCCACCTTCATCGTCATCAACGGCTATTAAAGTACCAGCAACACATATGTATTAAACGATTATTTGACAAATGACAGAATGAAGAAATCTTATTTATGTACACAATAGTATCATCTATGGTTATTTATATTGTTTCTTGCATCTACTCAGTGATTATTCGGAATTTTTTCTTTTTTTTTCAAATGACAGTTTTATTTTGCAACCAATTTGAATAATAACAATGATGACTAAAGAAAATTCATAGCGCATATTTCTGTGCTGTTTTGAAACATACAGATTTTTCAATGAGGAACAAGGTTGAAAAAAAGAATAAATACACGCCGAACAAGTTCTTTGATTGTATTTAATCTATACAAAAAAAAGACGAAATAATGTATTCTATTCAGAACTGAACGAGAGAAAAGATTATTCATTAAATTACTTGATTGTGCTACTAAGCAACGGTTCATAACATTCTTCTCGTTCGATGATTTGACGAAGAACAGGTGAAGTATTTTGAAGATGTTTTATGTCAGTCTATGATTAACAAAGTAACGTTGTCCATTGTTTAGGTATACAAACAGAGGTATTTTTAGCATAGTTATGAATTGGTTTATGTCACACTATATTACATGAACATTTTTATGAAATAGAAACCGAAATATGTGCATGGAGAAAAATATGCCTTCATTTAGACAAAAACAAAGTACCCAAATGTTAGAAAAAGTTTCATCGCAATGATATTGTATAAGATCTGATGCAACATAATTCATCGTGTCAATATTCGTAAAAGAATTTTTATTTCCTACTCGAATATAGGAATTATGAACGGTCTGAAAAACATTCATCTCTTGATTTTATCTCTGTCGAGATATAAATTTTGACATAGATAAGTCTTCAATAGAAAGAAAAATAACTGTCTCCATCGAAGGTTAAACAAACCTCAATATTTTGAGAATCATTCATATCCAAAGCGCTTCCATGTAAAGGTACACCTGATAATGCTCGTTTCCAATATGCTATACTCCATGGAATTAAGCGTGATACTGTTGGTTCAATCATATTTTGTTCGGGTAAATAGGGACCTTCTGTTAAAAAATCAAAAAATATTTCCAAACGTTGCTGTCTTGATGGATACATTTCAATAATTGCTGCCATAGATGAATATCTAAATCAAATATTTCACAAAAAATGCGTTTCACACTTTTTTCGATACTTTGGACTTGTTGATAATGCTTTAACAACTCGCGCATTCTTGATTGAATCTCTACAACAATGATGATGATGATGATGATTTGTCTTATCAGCTACATATTCATTCAATTCATCATATGATAATTTTAAAAAAATTGGTAAATCAATTTCTGGTGGATCATAAAAATTTCTATATGCAAAATATATAAAAATATGAATGCTTCAATATAAATCTTAATCTTGCATACTCATCAGTTCTATTATCTGAAAAGAAACAAATCTCAGATTCTAACAACAGTAAATTGCTCTTTATCGGTGCATGTACCTTCATGACGCGGAAGAATACGTTCGAATAATGTTTGATTTTTAACAATACGTGGAATATGAAAATCATTTTCAAAAATAAGCTATTTATTTATAATTTTAAACAAACGTTTCTCTATTGTTTTTGTACTTACTTGTGAACTAAAATTATAGCCGTGTCTACCATAAACAAAAACTAATTCAATCAATAATATTGCTTTGCCCTGAACGTTATTTCGTTTTCATAGTAGAAAATTCTAATGAGTTTGATTACTTACAAAAATATCAATAGAACTTTCAAATATAACTGCTTCACTCACATGTCGAACCTAAAAATAATCATATGTAATGAAAAAAAAGCAATACTAAGAAATACACATGTATCTGCTCATAGAAATGGAATGACTTCAATACTGAAAACACTAGAATACTCTCATGTAGAAGACGTTTCAATTGAATTAGGCGAGCAACTTTCACTTTTCCAAATATATATATATAAATATCGTACTGAAACAAGCTGAATACTATCAACAACTTGATCAGCAATTAAAGCATAACGTTTTTCTTCAATTAAATAACCATAGAGAATAATATGAATTAGATGGCGCTGATCATGACGACTGTCATAAATCTAAATAATTTATGATGAAGTTTATGATAAAAAAAGTATTTTATTTCTTTTACACGAATCATCATTTGCATTGTTTGATCGAATCGTGCAATATTCTCTTGCTTTTCTGTTCGATACATACGTACAGTTTTTGAATATCGACTTAAACCATAAGCGCTGATACATATACGAAATGAATCGATTTTTTTATCTTGTCTAGTATTATTATTTGATATTAAATAAAATGTTTTATTAATTATTAATTGATGTAAATGTACAGCAAGTACGCCGATCTGTTAGCAAAAACACAGAAAAAGGATCTGTTTAGATTTATTTGAATAAGAATTTAAAAATACTTGCTCCACTGATAGATAAATCATCAGATGAACTTGAGTCAGTATCACGTAGCCTGAAAAGAAGAAGAAAATCAATTCTAATGTTGAAAATCCAATGTTACCAGCCCCATTGTTTTGATTTATGTAACGACATAAATAAATCTAATTATGTTCAATGCTGAGTCATCAACTAGCGTGATTATCTATTTACTTTATGAAGCATTAATTTCTATTGAAAAAATTATGGAAGTCTTATTTAAATTTTCTAACCAAAAAAATATTTACACAATTTTAGTATCAGTTTCAGTTTGTTGTGATTACTATACACTATTAATGTATAACAATCATCATCACTCAAGATAAATATACATATGTTACAGTTGACATAAGAATTTAGTTGAGATTGGAATAATAGATTTAATTAAAGCTAGAGAAAATAGACAAAAAAAGAGCAAAGCAAAAAAATGGAATTTTCAAAAATCAAAATTCAAAAGAAGTTATATAAGCGATATGGTATTTTTTTCTATGAGTTATATTTAGCAAAGTATTTTCTAATTGATCATAATTTAGATTTCTTTTTTAAATTGGTGACCAAAACAAAAAAAAATTTCATTTCTTATTTTTCATTTATCTCAATGCGCTCTCATATCGCTTATATGCGTCATATACTAATTAATGTATATTGCTCAACTGATACTTTAATATTAAAAGGAAATAAAATACTTCGTTGATTATGATATTAATGTTACATCATCAAATAAATATTTTTATTTATCCTAGTTTTACATTCTAAAAAATTTAGTAGAATCTATTAAATTCTAATTTTTTTTATTATCATTTCGTTATTAATTTGAGTTTTAATAATCGATCTTCGTCACTATGAAACAGACAATGATCAGCCACAAATTATGAACTTTCTTTTGTATTAACTTATTTATTTGTTTAACAAAGAACCATTGCTGATAATAGCACATCAAATGGGCTAATATAAGAAACTTCTTTATTAATTTCATTAAAAGTTTGTAAAAAAAACATTTGCTTTCCTTCCATATATCATTCGAATTAAAAACTGTTCTATCTCCATCCCAGCTGCTCGATACCCGTATTTCGAAATAACGATAGCGAAAATCTTTTTCTTTTCTTCTAGTAGAGAAAGAAAAAAATCAATGTCCCTATGTCCCAATGTCCCGAGCATTAAAACATGGACATCTATTCAGAATCTTTGTCGTTTTTCTCTCTTCAATCAGGAAAAATAGACAATTAATCTTGGAAGCAAATAGGTTTTTTTTGAGTCTACATGCTGAATAAAATTATCTCATATTATTCACTGACAAAATTTTATTTCTATGAATCATTTTCTCAAAACTAGAGGTGTGTCAGCCGAAGGATTGAACGGCGGCGGCGGACAACAATTTTCAATTTTTGAAGTTTGCCAGCGGCTCCTTATTTGAATGAGTAATGCCTTCAGCGGCGGCTGCTACGAATTTTTAAAATTTTTTCCACAGCGGCGGCGCCGGCTGATATTTGCAAGTCCTTATGTGATGGTGGCGGCTGAGTTAAAAATTCACTGATGAGAATTAAAAGAAAAATATTCGATTCGATCGCATATAAATTGATGTCAGTGGCGGCGGATGACGCTATCATAAATGTTTATTTCTTGCAGCGGCGCAACGCCTAAACTTGTTTTTTCGCAGCGGCGGCTCACCAGAAATTCTTAAAATTATTAGTAATTTAGTGACTGCTGCGACTGACCCATGTTGCGAATACTGGATCAATTTTTGTGGTAAACCGCGGTATTTATCTATTCTGCGGTAATGGGAGCCGGTAACCGGACCGGTAAAACCGCGGTAAACCGGCGGTTTTTTGCGCATGTTTATCACATGTAAAAGTGAAAAAAAAGGATCTTTAAAATAGTTTAATTGATGATTTGGAAGACTTTTTCTGTCAAAAATTATAGATGAACCGGTTAACCGCTTTATTTAGCGGTAACCGCGGTATTAATCAAAACCGGCGGTTTACCGCGGTAAATGCCAGTTCATTTTTTGTGGTAAACCGCGGTATTTATCCGTTCTGCGGTAATGAGAGCCGGTAACCGGACTGGTAAACCGCTGATTTTCATGCGGTTTTAATTACATGGAATATATCAGTGTTGAGAAGTAAGTCGCCCGAAACAGAGTATATATCAATCGGTATGTTCTTGAATAAGTTTGTTGGTTCATTAGAAATATTTTCTTTTATTTGTGAAGTTTTGATTATTCAGTGTCATTTAAGATGGAAGAGACTGAAACTATATGACATATATCACTTTGTTAAGTCTATCATTCTCATGATCTGGATTTGAATCAATTACTTGATTTTCAGTACTATCATCAAATTTAGCTATTTTTGTTTTCCTGTTAGTTATTTTTCATTAGGCTTTTTTTTTGGTAAATCTTCTTCAAATTATTTCACTAAATCTAGACAATGTACGTTACTTTTATCTTCCATGGTATTATCAACATCGAAATAAACTTTCTATTTTAGAAGAAATTAAATATTTTTTCTCCTTACCTGTTTATCAAGAATAGCTTCGACTCGAAATTCAAGTTTCACGGTTCATCTCAACGCGAACAATATTCAACAGGACGCTTTTTCCCAAAGGTATAAACCATTCTTCATTTTATTTCTTTCTTTCTTTCTTATTCTTACTATCTAAAATGAAATTTATGACAACTTCCCTCGCTGCTCATTTAGATTTCTCTATCCGTTTCATTTATTAAGTCAAGGAAGTTACTGCCATTTTTGACGACCCACTGAATCTCAGAAACCATTGCTAATCGATGAATCGGACGGCTTTCGTTCGTGGAAAGTGTAAACACAAGCGGAGTGTGGTGCCCTGGATCTCCACAAGGAAAGTTGTTTATTGCAACTTACCAAGAGGTAAAGAATTTTTACTGATCAAATACATGTTGCGATGATGAAACCGTGCGGATTGTTGGAAATAGTGATCTGCCAATGCTACTGTTAAGAAGCATACTGTCGTGGTGATCTTCTTTTTCTCAATAAGAGGTGATGCCTATTCCTATGATGGTGAAATATATCATTCTCCGTTAAAAAAGAATAAATGCTCAACAATGACGGATAAAACTGGAAAAACACAATCAGTGCTAGCATACACATAGTTGTGAAGAATCAGCTTGCAAAAAAGAAGCCCATTCATTTATATTCTCCTCAGGTCCCAGGTCGAACAGTCCGGCCTGGAAACGGCCGGTTCCGGGTCGTTCCGTTGATTTTGTGGAAGCAGTATTCCGGTTGGAAATTTTTCTTGTTTTTTCCAGTGATTTCCGATCAATTCCTGCCGGAAAGCACCGGAACTTGGCAGGAATTCGCCGGAAAAGTCCGGCCGTATTTTTGACCGGAATACTGCTTCCATGTTCCAGCGATTTCCCGTGTTTTCCTGCAGGATACGGTGACTTTCCCGCATATTCCCTGGAGTATCCTACGGGATCCGGTGGCCGGAATGTTCGACCTGGGGTTAATGAATATTGAAAGTGCTGCTCAACGAAAAGTGATATTCGAGAAAACGTAATGTAGTTTTATAGTGTGCATAAATAGATCGTTCTCATTGGAAAATATGACACCAGCAACCTATTCATCATCTTAATTTTCAAGAAGAGGGGAATTTTAGAAAAAAAACTAGTTCGTTTTTTGCAGCATGGTATTTGAATACAAATTATTAAGCATAGACTCGCACAATCTATTGATAGTGCATCTTAATTTTAAGAAAAGTGTTGCTCTGGCAGATCGTTGTTTCCAACAATCCGCACGATTTCGTCATCGCAACATGTATTTAATCAGTAAAGATCATTTACCTATTGGTAAGTTGTAATAAACAAGTTTATTCGTGACGATGCAGAGTACGAAATCATTTTTGTCTCTACTCTTTTCATACAAATAAAGATAGAACGCAAGTAAGTGATGTGTCAGAATGAGAATAATATCATACCCCACAATCTTATCGAAAAACATTGCTTATTGCAAACTTACCAAGAGGTAAACGATCTCTACGGATCAAAATACATGTTGCGATGACGAAATCGTGCGGATTGTTGGAAACAACGATCTGCCAGAGCAACACGTTCATTTATAAATCAAGAAAAATTGTGAGATTACGTGGAACTGAGGTGAACAAATGTCATTTGATTTTTTCTGATGCTCAATCGCTACTATCGTACGCATAGCTTTCATCAATTAACTTGAGGGTGTAGGTGTTTTGAACGGTAATATCCACCCTAATTGAATTTTAAATTTCTTTCGAAAACATCAACAGTTTATTAATATTAAAAACTTGATCGATATTATATATAAAACAAACGAAATTGGTGTTTGGTTTTAATGAACTACAAAGACAAAAATAAACAATCAGCTTGTGGACTATAACCATCTAAACCTTCACAACGTCAAGCACTGAGTAAACGTAAACTACATTGAATATTTGGTGCCACAATACGTGCTACTGGAATTGAAGATTTTGTTGACCATTCAATGATGAGACCGATATATGCAGGTCGTGGATAAAAAAAAGTTAATGGGTTGATCAAGATAAATGATCAAATAAAAAATTTCGTACGTTGATTCAAGTATATATAACTACGCATGAATTACTTGATGATGAGATCGTAATGTTCGAATAATTGATGTTTTACTAGAATAAATTCTCGAAATAGCTGCTTGGAACGATACGAAATACGAATCAAAATTACGTATTATCTATAATGCCAGACTGAAAGTAAATAGCATGTTGTACATCAACATACATATATGCAAAGAAGTTTTGTAGACACAAAATGAGTCCTATTATTTATCGCATCATTTTTAGAGAAGAACACATTTCTATATCTGTTTGCATAAGTAACTATTTCATGACGTTACATATGCGTCATGTTTTATCAGTTAGCTTTATTAACTACACAACTTCATAGAACAGAATCGTATTCACGCTTTTTTACTCTCACAAAGAAATAAACGCATGCCAAAAATAATTTCATTTGGACTATTCCTCACATGTATAATTAGTATATCTGCAGACTCATGCTCATTTGGTAATATCCAATAAAAAGATGAGTTTTTAATTTTAACAAAAAAACATTTTTTTCTTTTTAAGGAAAAGTATGTGGAAATTATCCGCGGACATTTTGCTGTCCAAGTAAATTCATATGTTCATTCAGTAAAAATTTATTTACATTTTGAATTTAGAGAATACAAGATGTGGTCCATACGCAACGAGAACTTGTTACAACGAACCAAATGGACCAAATATTACTGGTATAATATTTGGTGCTGTAATTGGTCTGTTCATTTTTATAATGGTTTTGAAAGCTTGCATTACATGTTGTTCATCGAGAAACGAGTATTATCCATTATCCTCGTCTGATCCAGTATATCTAGCCAGATCAGGTGCTGTTGTTTGCACAGTGGCTGCATCTCGTTGTTAATTATTGATAAAACTGAGATATTTAATTCAATCACCAATGACTTTATTTTTGTAGTAAAATAGCAAATTTTTAGAAAAAACAACATGAATATGATACCGATATGCAGATAATTTTGTTGGCGAAACCTTGAGGGTTTTCAATGGTGTTTTATGAAAATCTTCATTTTTCTAATCGTAAAATCAAGATGATGTATATATAGTTGAATGATCCAAAAAACAAAATTCTATACCTTTACTCTGTTGTAATAAATTCAGATGATTTTCTTGGTCACTCATAAAAGATTTGCTAAAACGATACTTCGTAGAATCAGAACGTCACATGTCTGAACTATTCTTAGAGTTCAATAAGTAAAAATTGGTTTTTGGTTGAGAAGGACTTGCAATCTAATGTACCTGTCCTTGTTGAGAATCGTATGATTGCACGAGCATATCAGTATCAAGCTCATCAATACGATTATTTTTGACCCTATAAATTTCATTGAAACATGATAAAATTTACAAATATTTTATCTATTTGATAGCTAGATCAAATGATGAGCTTCCTTAGAATCCATTGTTTCTAAAATAAATTATAGGAACACACTTTGAATCAGTAGCCTAGTTCGATATTGAATCGAATGAAAAGCCAGTTTCATCAAATAAAGCAGACGGAAGACATTCTGTACTAGTTATTGTTGACCCGCGCTGTATTTCAAAGATTTATTTAATTATTGCTTGAGTAATCAGTTAGCTTTTGATCTTGAATCTGACCATTTTTCTTATTATCAATTTGTTCTGAAGTTAATTATTTCAAATTTACACGAATCTATTCAATTATAATTTTATTCCTACGTTACATTGGAAATTCTAAAGCATAGATCATTGTATTTGATAAATTTTATTTAAAGAAATATATTTTCTCTATATTGACGATAAAATTGCTGATACTAACATAATAATTAAATGAGTAATGCATGACATCCGATATATACAATCAGAACTAGACAGAAAACTATAGAATATCTTTATAAATTAATTCGTATTTCTATCGTACTCCATACTGGATACCATCAGAATCTAATAATAGTATTCGAATATAATACGATGGACGCTTCAGAACGAATAAGTTTGTCAATATTTTCTCGATATTTATATTAATGTTCGTAGTAATGGATTCAGTTTCGTCGCAAACGACTGATTGTTCAATTCTCTCATTGCTAAATAATTTCATATCAGAGAAGTACAAGGACAAAAATTAGAACTAGTTTGTGCTTTCTTACCATAAATTAGGCACTTTTAAAATGTTTCAGAGAACCAACAAAAGTATAATCAGGGGTAATATATATATATATATATATATATATAATGCTACACAGAAAATAACACATCAGTCTATAGTATTTGAAATAAAGTCTAATGCTGGGCAATAGATTGAAATCTATTATTTCAGATTCATGGTTTTGAATCATAATCCAAAGAGAATAGCATTTATTTTAATTTAAGTAGACTTTAACTGCGTGACTCAGTCGCTTTTAAATAAAAAAAAACCTGCTCGATGTTTCAATCTGAGCAGTTATTAAGACAAGAAAAAAAGTGATTCATACAAATCACCGTATTTATAAATTACCTGTTTTAGTTAGGTAAAATTTTTCTATTTATAATGTATTATCGAACTCGGAAAAGGTATTTGAATTTGGAAATTTTCTAGCTAGTTTAGAAAATGTTGAGTATTTTAATAGTTGCCTAAGTATTTATGAAGGTATATAGGTAATTAGGAGAGCTCATTAAGGTTTTTGGTGTATAAATCTACTACAGTCAAAACTAAAAATCTATTTATTTTGACTAACTTCAATTTTCTTTTGTTCATCGATCGAAAACGATCACAGTCACAAACAAAATCGAATGCTTCCAGTTTTGGTGCATGTCTAATCGAAACAAATTATAATTGTTGTTCGGCACATCAAAATTTCTTCTTCCGAATATATCTCCATTGATATTTTTGAACAATACCAAAAATTACCATTTTTTTTATTGATTATTTAATCAATCAATAAATTTTAAGATACGCATTTATTTAAACAATTTCCCCATTAGAATCCGTCGAGTTAACACTAGGTCCGCAGAACTGTCAATAAATTAAACACCTTCTATTTGTCACTAAACTCTATCATTAACACCAAATCACAATATGAATTTTGCATGACAAAGTCTTTGGCTTTCATGTCAATCTTTATGAAGTTCATTATACTCTCTGGTCACTCCCATTTTCCCACCTGCTCATTTTTGTTTTCTGTGAAAGATCAAAATAATCTTTATAGAATGAAATTGATCGATAGACTGTTTATATTTATACACACACACACACTCTCTCCAGCCCACTCTTTTCTTACCAATCAGTTAACTGCTTCGAGTCATTAAACTTTCATATGCTAGTCAAACTAATGCCGCTACCGCTATATAAAAAAGAAACTGCAATTTAAAATTTCCCTTGAGTCTTCATATGCACACGTCGTGTGTGCAATCATTACAATCTACTCTATATTTATCGAATTAACACGAGAAAGAATACAATAATATTTTTTTCGGGTGGATATCATTACTTCAATCAAACATACCGACTTGAACCTGTTGTTATTGCATCGACAATAAGTGATCGATTATCAACAACAGTTGTTACTTCTGTAAGTGTGATACAAAGAAAAATCACTTCTATATATTTAATATTTGTTTCTTATTTTAATCGCTGTACAACAAAGAATAACAGAGACAAAAAGAGCGAAGAAAAAAAAACGAATTTGACTAGCAGATTTGCATAAAAATCATGTTGCTGTCCTCTAGTCATTTAATGAGTTTTTATTATTCGATGGTATATGATTATATAAACCTTGAGCCATTAATTGTAATGCTAATGTATTTCGTACACCAGACGTCTTTTTTATTTTTGCTCGTTTATTTTGATACCAAATTTTTATTTGAGATTCATTTAAACCTAATTCATCAGCTAAAACTTGTCGACGTTCGCCCGTTAAATATTTACTTCGATCAAATTCATCTTTTAAACGCGCTAATTGAGCACTTGTGAAAGCTGTACGTGGTCGTTTGGAATCCAAGGTATCACATGGCTTATGTTTTCGTGCACGAGGACCTTCAAAAAGTAAAGATTTATTTGAAGTGGTTTTCTTTTGATCTTTGTTTTTACCCGCTGATGGTCGATCAGAATATCTTGTACAATAAACCCATGCAGGAAACATTCCCTCCATAAGATTTTGACTATGATTTTGATTTGACGACGACGACGATGATGAATCATTTGTTGTTGTAGGTGACGATGATGATAAAGGAATGTTTGATTTTTCAATATTATTATGTTGATTATGGTTACCAAAACTAGGTTTCAATATATCCGAAATAAGAAAAGATTTCATCTTTGATGTTTGTTTTTCATTTAATAATTTTCCTGACGGAGGAAAAGAAGACGACGATGGCGAAGACGATATTGATGATGTTCTTGAATATGTTGAATCAGGTGATGAGAGAAATAGTTGATGATCATTAGCACCCATGATGATCAAATATTATTATTATTATTGTTCTCTTTTTTCCTAAATTTGATTTGACAACAATTATAAACGCACACACACACACAACTCTGTAAGTGTGAGTTAAATAAGTAAGTGATAGTCTAAATTACTTTCTCTGTTTTTTTTTACTCGCTTCTTTCTCTTTAATATGATTGGCCAATGACAAGAATATTACTTCGTTTTTTCTCTCGCTCCATGTAATGATAGATATACGCATCATTTTGTCTAACCAATCATGTAAAAAGATACTTTTTCTATGTCTACCAGCTAAGAGAGAGAGAGAGAGGGAGAGAGCAAAAGCTATTATGAATGATGATGATGAAGACGACGAGCAAAAGCTTATATTGCTATTATCAAGTAGTAATGATACATCAAAAGAAAAATAAGAAATACGTTCGTTCGGTCGTTCTTTTGTTTCTTTTCTATTTGCTAATAGACTTCCTTAATGAATATCCAGACAACTTTCTTTTCTGGAAAACCGATTATGAAAGCAAATGAGGCGAGCGAATCATTTGGAAATCAAGCAAGTCAAAGCGAAAAGGTTAGCAATTGATTATCACATATGCTAATAGAAGAAGTTATTTTATCAGTTCGGAAAATCATGAAACGATGTTGTAGTTGACAGGATCATCATAGCTAATTTCATGTTTGCTATTGATCTATTTCGTTGCTTATCATTTCGAGATGCTTCTTGTTCTTTTTCGTTTTTTGGTGTATCATGCCGACTGAAATGACAGGGCGCACTACTCGCTTGTATACTAGTGATGACAAGTGAAGCCACGCCTTTATAAACATGCACACATCCAAAGAGGGAAGAATGTTAGGCGACTAACTCGATTAAAATAATATCTTTTCTTCATGTAAACATGATACGATAGCTTGATCATCAATCAATATACGTAGAAACATATAACGATTATAATCATAATAACTGTCAGAAAAAAGCCTAGAAAATACGCGTATACTACATTGACTTACATATATATATATATATGTATGTAAGTTGTGTATCATCATTATCATCAATGAGATAGAAAAAAAAAAGTAGGATATGATTTTAAATCGTCGATCTATTTTTTCTCTTGCTCTCATGAAATTCTGATAGACATGATTGATGACAGAAAAGAAGAAAAAAATATTTTATATTAAAAAAACCAACAATAATATTTTCTTATTTTTGTCTTTGAATAATGAATTGTATGCAGGCTATAGAATAATTTTATGTTGAATAAATGTTATAATTAAACCATGAACATTTTCACTTTCTATGAATTAGTTATGAATTAAACTGTGACGGTCGTCTCTATTAAATTTTGAAACAGAAAATAAATACAAAGACGTGTTAATTGAATTCATTGATACAGATTTTTGAAAAAAAGTTATCTTCTTAATTAATATTATTATGATTAGATTGACGCATAGAACGTCATTGGTCATTTTATGAATTATTTTGTTAAAAATTCTTCATGAAAGTTGCAGTTTTCTCAAAGTTTGTTAAACATTCATATCCAAAGAAACATTGAAGTTATCTGCTCATTTAGTGTCAGAATGATTTTATAAGCGATGAAACAGATTGTATTCTTCAATTTTGTCTTACGTCGAAGAATGCAGCAACTGCATTGTGTTTTTCAGCGAAAAGATTCCAATCAACGAATATTTTTCATCTAACGTTTCTTGATTTAATTTTTTTGTTTTTGTATTTCCTGTTGAAATATCTCTGCAGCTGACCAATAAACTAAGAACAATCGATCATCAAATCATTTTATAGGCAAGATTGAAATCTGTGTATGTGCATTTACTTCAATCACTCATCATCATTTGTACGTGACTTCTTCTCTTTTTTTTTTACTTTTCTCTTGCAATCATTAGATGAATATGTGTTGTGTGTTGGAATGTTTCGAGTAATTAGCAACCATGAAGCGTGATCGATACATCTATACCATATAGTAAATGACTAAGAAAAAGTGTTGATTTACTTGCCAATATTACTATAATTTCTTTTTAATACGTGCAAAACTTCCATGCATATTGTAGATCGACTCATGAGATTTGAATCACTATGGTCAATTGACCAATAACTGAATATTAGTCAATAGGAAAACGATCCGTATTTTTACGAAAGTCAAGTTTTTGCAATACTATTAACAATTGGTTATGAAATAAGTAGAAGAGTTCTCATATTTAATATGATTAACAATAATATATGGAATGTTTATTTTTCTCACACATTGAAAGCAACTCTATTAGCACGTTGGCTTGCGCATCAATGATGATATGTGCCCGGAAGACCAAGTAACATACCACGACGATCATTTTCTTTGAGAGGAAAGAATAGACATCCGACCTAATCTTTTGATGGGCAATAGATGATAACGATGATGAGAAACTAATAAGTGTGTCGAGCGAGTTTCTCTTTCCTCAACAGGTATAAACGATAAGGATATTGATGAGAAAATATGTGAAAAATGATAAATAACACAAAAGAAGAAATTGATCGAAATAGTTGAGAGATCAAATGCATCGTTGAAAATATGTTTGTCGAACAAAAGATGAGACAAAGGTAACAAGCAATAAACAAATGGTCATTATCAATTTAAACGCAAGGACTTATGGTGAAAATTTCGGAGACTTGTGAACTTATTCTATTAATTAGGAGAAGAATAAAACGGCGTCGATGTCAGTTCTAGAATTTTAAACAGTAACAAGGCCAAATGCACAACATATTTATTTTGTATTTTGGATGTATATGAAATTGATTTTATAATATTTTTTCATAGAAAATGCAAAATGGTTCTACTAATTATTTGTTGTAAGATTTCTGAAATTAAATATTTTTCTATCTGTTTGAATTATTTTTAAACGAGTATATAATAATACTAATACTTTCGAAAAATCATAGATAAATTCAAAATGTGAGATATAAAAATTGAAGGAGAATAATACGAGAACTTTTTTAAGACATATGTGGTAAAAATATGAAAGTGAACCGTAAGAAAAACTATATGCGACCAGAAGAAAAAGCATTCTTATATGATGAATTTTTCTCTGATCCAAAGCCCATGTATATTGGAAACACAATGTAAAACGTTAGTATTCAATTTTGTCTTTCCAAGTTCGAAAAGAAAAGATGAAAAATGATATTGTTATTGTAACTTAATTGTTTATATTTATCAGCAGTTTTCGCGTTTTATGATTGCTATTCACGCAAATCAATATAATTAGTATGAATAAAAGTCATCGGAGACTAGTCAAATAAAATAGCTGGAAAATTTTAGAAAAGATTACAGATCGATTCTATCGAAGCAACTTCAATCAGTGCAGTATTTTCATTAATTAAATATGTCTTCTATGAAAGACTGAATAGGGACATATCATTGTCATTCTACTTTGTTAGAATACAAAATTAATACTTGATATAAATTTCTTTTAGCTTAATCTCAGCGGGATTCAAATTATGAGAAAAAAGAGGTCAATAGCCTTGATAATTGAAAAAAAATTGTTTACTTATTTTTAAGATACCTTCCTTTAGTGTCCTTTTACTTAATGTTCCAGAAGCGGTAGATGAATTGCGTCTATGTTGAATCGTTTTCAGCATGTCTGTTTAATCGATTTGTCATGGTCTGTTAGAATTAGTCTTTAAAGAAGAAACCTAGACATAGTTGAAAAGAGGAGATTTTGTTATTAGCAAATAGTTTGATTATCATTGGAATGAATAAGTTAGATAGTAATGATTAGAGAGTGAAATGAAGTTCAGATTTATAACTATTATCATTCAAAGTCGAGTTATTGTTCAATCATTTTTTTTTATTATTGAAATAATAATAATATTCTGTTTCATGCAAAGTTTTAATCTTATAAAGAGAAAGAGATCAAGATCAACTAAAAACATATATTTGACCAATGTTTTTTTTCCTAAGATAACCTGTAACAACTTGATGGAAGTATAAGCAAATGATGTTTGTATTACAATTAAAATGAAGATTCGAACTTGCTAGATAATGATTACTGTGATGGCTAGGTTTTTATCCACGAAAAGAAAAATTTTGCACGTAAGAATAACGTTCAGTAATTCATTTTTCGGCTAATATTGTACAAAATCACTGAGCAATCGATTTGGGATTTTGGAATGAAAGAAGACGATGATATGTAAATTATACTTTCTAAACTAGGTTTTCACTGATGTTTGCTTGAAGATAGGAGATCATCGCATTGTCTCCATTATAGATCTGTCATTGTTCTTATTGGTTCTTACAAAATACTAAAGAATTGATTTTAATAGTACGTCAGAGTTAAAGAATCGCTGTAGAACTTTTCACAAATTAGCTTTGTTCTGCTTCCTATGAATGAAGATGTAGTAAATTATTCGGTTCGAAGCTACTAAATTACTATATTCTACAGTGAACTCGATTAAAGCTTTCACAGAATGGAAATCTATTAATGATATTTTTCTTTTCATTCGCTTTTCATATTACATATCATTCTCATTCTAACTCTTAACAAGTTATTCAAAGAGTTTTTTGAATGCTAGAAGCTGTATAGATGTCTCAAATATGTATGCAGTCAGAAATTAATTCTGATTATATTTTACGTAATAGTAAGCCAAAAAGAGAAAAGACGTTTAGATGATATTGAAGCGTGGCAAAATTATTAAAAATGTTGTAGAGTCCCTAGTAAGTTATTCTTATTTAAATTAATAGCAATATCATAATCTTACATATATCACTTTGAAGATAATTAAAAGTCAAGGATTAAATACACATTCATCTAATGTTAGTTCTGTTCGAGAGAACACTTCCAAAAGTCGATATGCATCACATCTACAATTAATCTTCAATATTCGTCTTTATTTATTTATTTAGTCAAGGACAGTGATGTCTAGAGTTAGTTCCACATGCCTGTAAGTAAGATTCTTGAGATTTGGATGATATGACAACAGCAATAACAAATTCTTATCAATACATTCATATGAAATTTTATTTCTTATTGTTTTATTTTACCTATCTGATTATGTTTTAACCATCAGATCACTTACCATTGGTTGAAAAAAACAATTTATTGTTAATTTTATAGCATGTGCAGGTCGTAATTTTACATTTACGACTTGGTCTCTTGATAATTTTAATGATAAATTATAAAAGAAGCATGTCAACAGAACGGATTTATATTCTTTTATTTTAATAGTAATTCAACATGGATTCTCATACGTTTTTTCCTCTTTTAACAAATGGTGAAACAATTGTTGGAAAGTATAAAATTCGTCCAACATGTGACTCCATAGCATTTACTGCTATAATTACTGATTGCCGTTTACTTACTCGTACGCAAGAAACTGTTTGTTGTTGTTGTCATCGTTCTTCATATAGAGCTATTTCACTCGAATCAATTCATCGTATTGATGAAAATTTTCAACGCTCTCAAAATGCTGTCTACGTGCTAGTTTGGGTATTTTTTTTGTTAGTATGTAGCGCTGGAGTTTTAATATCAATTTTTGCTATTAAAGATACAACTTTAAAAACAGCTATACTTATTGGTTCAGGTGGCCTTTTCTTTGTGATTAATGTAATCATATGGCTATCTTTATGTTGCTGTTTTAGAAGTAAACTAATTAAATTACATGGAACTTTTGGCTCAATCAATTTATTCTTTGCGAAAAAAAAAGCTAGAGCATTTGAAATTCAGTTAAGTGAACAAATTTCTCAGGCAAAAACACGTATTCAACACACACCAATATCAACGATACCTCCTTTATCTATTCCTCACGCTTCTAAGAGACTAACAATAATGGATCAATCATGGATATCTACAGATCGATTCTAATAGACGAATTCAATCTCTATAATATTTTCTTTAAAATCTTACCAAAACTATGAAATTTAAAATTGAGTAAAAATATAGCTGAAACTGAATAAAACGTTAGTCTAAGAATAATAATAGAAAAAAAGACAGAATGAAACAAAGTTGCACACATGCACATAAGCGATAGCCTGTTTCTTTTTTTTAATTATGATGACAAACTAGTGGTAATACACGAATAGAACCGAAAACAAAAAAATGTTAAATTTTCTGTTATTGTTTTTTTTTAACTTTAACACTGTGCATATATCAAGCAACACAAACAAACAAAAAAGAAAGAACGATTGAAGAAGGTCCATATAGGGATAGAGAAAAAATAAGAATATTTTGATTTAAATGCCTTATGATGATGCCGATGGATTATTTGTCGCATCGAGTTTTGTTTCAGCTGTATTAGTAGCAGCAGTATCGCTCGTTGAACTTGTATTATGATGATGGTGTTTATGATTACCAGATGGAGTGAATAAATTTTTGAAAAAGGTACGAAGCCCTGAAAATGGCCCAGGTTTAGCTGTAGTTACTACAGGAGTTGTCACTGAACCACTAGCTGCTTGCGGTGAATCTTGCGTAGATTTTTCTGTTCCATTAGCTTCTTGTGAGACACGATCTGCAGTGGGAGTATTCGATGTGATAGCAGCTGGTGTAGCACTAGTACTAGTAGCATCAGCTTTAGTTTCAACAACTTGTTCGACTGTGGACGATGCTTGTTTTTCATTTTCTGAAAAGGAAACTATTTTCAAAAAATTAAGATTAAGAAATATGTTACCTTCTGTTTTTGTAACAGCAGCATCAGCTACTATTGGTTCAGCAGTTGCTCTAAGATTTGAAGCAGCTTCTGATAATGATTCTGCTCCGGCGTGAAGTTTTTCATTAACCACAGTTGCACCAGTTGCGATTGCATGTTGTGTTGAAGTAAGGATTTCACTTCCTTTATTTAAAGCTTCAGAACTTTTCCTGTGCGCCCATTCTTTTGTTTCTTCCAATTTTCCGTTACCTTAATTAAAAAATATAATCATGAAAAGAGCACAATTAAATATAAATTCTACCGAATTTTTCAGCTTTAGCGAGCGTTTCTGCAGTTGTATGTTTAACAGTGTCAATCACTTCTGTAGCTTTTTCTAAATTTGATTTCGAAGCTATTAAAAAATATTTTTTAGCAAAAAAACCGAAGTACCTACCTTGAATTTTATTTTTAACAGCAACTAATTTTTCTTCTGTAGATTTTTCAGCTTCTATGATAGCTTCTTTAGCGGTAGTAGCAAGCTCATGTGCTTTCTCTATTAAAATCAATCTAATTCATATTTACGATAAATAATTATACAATTAATACCCTGAATATTATTTAATGATTCTTTAGCATGAAATTCTCTGTGAAGAGTAGCAGTTGTGGCATCATCTTTTAACTCAGCAGCTTTTTCTGAACACAGCATTAACTAATACTGTGAAATATATATCACGTAACTAAATTTTACCTTCAACATTATGTGCTACTTCATGAATTTTTTCTTCAGCATCATGCGTTACTTCATGAGCATTTTCTTCGACATCATGTTTTACTTCAGCAACATTTTCTAAAATTATATTTTCAATAGAATAATAAATTATTGTAAATAAAATTTTACCTGTAGTAGTATGTTCAGTTTCCGTAGGCTTTTCTTCGACTACAGGAGAGGCAGCGACTGTCTCGTGTTGCACATCGGCAACTTGTTCTAAAAATATGTTTTATGCATAGAACAAAATAAAATCATTGACGTAAACCTTGAGCGCTCTCTGAAATTTCTTTAATCGGCTCTTCCACTACATGCGCTGCAACGACAGCTTCCTCATGTTTTATCTCAGTCACATGGTCTAGAAATACTCCGCATGCATGCAATAAACAATATAGAATAAACACTATTAACCTTGAACATTATCTGAGATTTCTACAGTCTTTTCTTCGACTTCAGGAGCTGCAGCCACCTCTTTCTGTACTTCAGTGGCGTGCTCTAGAATTATTCTGCATACATAGAACAAAACAAGATAAAATTAATGATATAAACCTTCAACAATATTTTTAGTTTCTGCAGCATGTTCTTCACTGTGTTGAACAGCTGATGTTACAACTTCTTGTACTTCGACTACTGGCTCGCTTGCTGGATGAGCTGGTTCATGTGATATTTCATTATTTTCACCGTGAACTTTATCAGCCTCATCTAAATGTATTAATCGCATATTTATTTTTTTTCGCTTCTCCAATTTTCTTATTACTAATACAAAATCAAACTACCTGTAACTTCGTTAGTATTGGTAGCGTCCATGTGTGTTGCTATTAAATATAGCAGTTATATCAATCAATCAATCAAACTATAATTATAATAACTAACCAGTTTCTTCTGTGGCAGATGTTGTTGATTCATCATCTAATGTAACACGAATATGTTCAAGTTCATGAGTAAGGCTTGAAACGGAGTCATCTGCATTTTCAACAATGCTATTTTGTTTTTCATGATTATTTTCATCGTTTATTGATGCATTTGTTTCATTTATATTTTGCTCTTGTTTGTCACCTTCAACGACAACATGATTACCTATAGAAATTAAATTAATATGAAGAAAACAAAAGTCACGAGGATTTTTTTTTTCGGATATGCGTACCTGTTTCTTCATGTTTTTCGACATGGCCTTCATCGTGTGAGTGACTGTCAGACATAGTTTATTTGATATAGAGATGAATAAAGAAAACTCTATCTAAAAAGAAAAACAATATAATGAATCAACCATATTTTTGTTACAATAATATCTATGATAAGAAGTTCTACTTTTCCGACCTTCTGGCTAATATTCACACAATTCTCTAAACGATATCATGTAATCTGTATGTTTACAGCGTCTATTTGTCAGCCGAAAGAGAAATGGTATATGTACTGATTATCTGAAACACATCCGATGAACGCGAATCGAAGAAGAACAAAACAAAAGAATATAGACAAGATAGAATGAATAATTATATGTGACCGGCAGTTTTGGCAGCTTGTTATCTTGTAATAGCAGCGCAAAAACAATGATAAGTAACAACCTGTTGTTTCTGACCTTCTTCCTTTTGTTTTCTTCTTCTCTATTGATCTATAACGAGAGTGACGAAGAAAATATGCATCGCTAAATAGTCACAAGTGAACTATGTACTGAAAACGAAAAGTAACGGACACATCTCAAAGGACTTTTAACTTAGAGTAAGTGTAAATATATAATGCTTGTCTGGCCTTGAAATTCTCTCAAAAAAGAAAAACCGTCCGTCATGTTTTAGCTGCATGGCGTTTTATTAATAAAAGAATGATAGAAGAAAAAAGGCCAAAGTTTATTTTAGTTTACTGTCCTTCTACTATCATATCTGTCTCTCTCTCTCTCTCTCTCACTTTCTTTCTCAAGGGTGATACAGCAACGAATGAAAGGAAAAAGACAAGCAAAAACGAAAAAAAAACGACTAAATATAAAAAGAATAAACAAATAACGTTGCCGCTTTCTACTACTTATAATAGTGACTAAACGAATATATATATATATATATGTATACTTCATCTATCCGTCTTTCTATATATCTATCTATCTCTCTCTCTCTCTGTATATATATATATATATCTACAAGCGAATGTCACAACGTCGAGCAGCATAATAAACGCAATAGATTTCTGTTTTTTTTGTGTGATGATTTTTTCTTTCTCGTTCTACAAACAAAAATATAGAAAACAAGCACAAGGTTTGGATGAGAGTGGTTAGTTTCGATGCCATACATATAAAATAGACACAGAATAAGTAAAGCAATCTACTACTGTACTGCAATAGCAACCACTACTGTGATTGTATGTGTGCGTGTAGATTCCTTTAATGAATCAGATCAAATATTGATGTCAAAAAATAAAAATAAAAGTAGACGAACGAAAGAAAACGGCAGCGCATGCTCAGTATGTATGGCGTAATGTAATAGTAAAGAAAGCTCCCCTTTCTCTTTCTTGCTTTTACTGCCTACTCCATTAAAATGCATTGAAGGAGAAAGAAAAAAAAGCATAGCATTAAAAAAAAAGAAAATCTTCATATAAACGACTACTATTTGTTTTATATGTAAATTTAATATAAAGCTAAAATATATTTCTTTAATAAAGAAGAATGTTTTCTATCTTAGTTGTTATGTTTTTATCTATACGATGATGAATTTTCTAGATTTGATATCAAATGAGTGAGTCATCGAAAGAAGAACAAACATCGACATGTCAGGATGGAACTTTGGATTTTTGGATACAACGATGGCAACAAAATAAAATTGGTTTTCATCGAACTGTTGTCAGCTAGTGAGTAGAATATTTTTTTTCTCGTATTTAGTTAATGTCTTTTATTGAAAATTTATTTTAAAGTTTGTTTGAGAAGCATATGATTCCAAAACTGACTGCAGCACAAGAACAACTATGTGTTCTTTTTACTTTATGCGGTAAAACATTGGACATGATAGCAGTTTTAGAAGCGGGTCATCGTGTTATTGGCATTGAAGGATGCCAAAGTGGTGTAGAAGCATTCTTTCAAGAAAATAATATTAAATACGAGATTGAAAAAGACGAAACGAATAAATGTCAAACTTACAAAGTAAATCAAAATATTCTATTCTGCTATTTATTAACCGCTTATTCGTGAAGGGTACCGAGTGTCCATTAACTATATACGTTACTGATTTTTTCACATTTAACAAGTTTGTATTAGTCAATATTGATATTTTTAAATCTTCAATAATTTGTTTTAGACCACTTCCACCTATTGATTATATATGGGATCGTGGAGGACTTGTAGCTATCAATCCGTCGACTCGGGAACAGTAAAAATTTTAAAAAACTATATTTTCCTTCAACACTCATCCTTGCCTGTAGATACCGGGATCGCCTTATTCGAATCATGGCACCTGAACGCACTCAACTCTTTGTCGTAGCTATAAACTACACTGATCTAACTTATACTGGTCAGTATTTTCTTATTAGTTTCTAATCATTACACACCAAAAATATTTTATAATAGGTCCTCCTTTTGTTGTGAATGATGATAACGTTCAGACATTGTTTGGTAGGTTTTAAATTAGAAATATTCCTGTTGTTTTTCTCCATTGTTCAATTATGTCTATAGGTTCAACATGTTCATGTGAACTTGTCGAAGCCCATGATGAAACAGAAGAATATAATTCGCGTGTGGTTAGTCGTATCGATTTCATGGAAGAACGTCTTCATTTAATTGTACAAAAACAAACGTGATCTTATATATTAAAATGAATTTCACGTATAACATAACATGATGAATATCCTTGATTTGAAATATTATTTCTTAGGTTACTGAATTAAATGTTTGCTATGAAAAGTTCATTCTGTTTTTTTTTCAAAATAATATACATTTCTGTAGCTCTGCGGTGGGTGTTGATTTACAATAATACATGATCTATCTGCATCTGAATAAATGCTTTCAGTGAAGAATTTAATGTTAATAATTTAAGATAAGGAAGACAAAAAATACTTTTGGTTTACTTTTTTTTTACTCATTTAATAACAAAACATGAAGTCAAAAATAGCACCGTAATTTGATTGATTACACTTAATATGATCAATGATAAAGTTGATTTTATCAGTAGACAATTCTCGATAGAATTTGCGGATAAAACTGTAAACAAAATCGATTAATGACAAATGTCAAGTTATCTAAAAGAAAAACACAAGATTTTCAACTTGAATATAATCATGTTTAGAATAACATTAGTTCAATACACAATCTTGTGTGATTCTTTGTTTATTCATTCAAAATTCATTACAGAATATCCTCATCAATAGTGATCGATTAATCATCCGATGTCTACCAATTTCTCCTTTGTGTGTCATCAAGTACATTCTGATAGATAGATGCGCTGTTTTTTTGAATCTCCACCATGATTATTTATTCGTTGAGACTTACTCGAATAGAGCTTATTGTCCAAGAACTGATGGAAATTTCGTATAAACAAAATTTGAAAGGAAAAACTTTTTTGATTAATGTTCGCTAGCATAGTAATAAACAAATTTACAGAAGAATTATTTATGCAGCTGTTCATGCAAGTCATGAATTGCAATTGCATGCAAATAGAATTATGTGTTTCTGACGTTGACTCAGTTTTGCATGGAGAAAATTAGATGTTTTGAGCCTGCTAAATATCAATGAAAATCGACTATGGTTTACAGTAGATAGGATTCATATATGTCAAGACACTCATTTTTATTCTGCGTTGAAGGATAGTTCAAAATGACTGCCTCTTATTGTGTTCGTATTCCTATGGCTAATATAAAAAAACTGATCAACATTATTATAAATGTTTTATTCTGTCTACATGCCTAAATATGTTTACCGCATAGCGTATCTGACATCTGTCTTTTCTTAAAAAAACCTAAATATCGATCAATCAAAAATCATATTAATGGAGAACGATCAAGGACACTCTATTTTTTTGCTATTCACATTTGAAAAGAGTTGTTTAACTGCTTTGTCTACATTTTATGGTTAGCCTATCTGTTCGATTGGTCTCTAATTTATGAGCTGAATATCTGTAGCTAATCAACTTTGTTTACTTGCCTAAAATAAAAAAAGGAATCTAGAATCTCCATTAGAAGAAACATATCAAAATGTAGTTATTATAGATAGGAAATAGAGGAATTTCGTTAAGCGACACTCAAGGAGTAATGTATACTATTGTTCTGAGGATGTGGGTGTAGATGTTGATCTTGTCAGAATCAATCTACCTATACCCAAAAGAAAATATGGTATTATAATGAGTAACACCACATTTTGTTCTATTCTACGTTAATCACATTAAGAGAAACGACATTATGAAGATTTTAAAAAATTGATGAATTTATCCACAAAACTTTACTTACCAAATAAAAACACATTGTTCTAGGCTATTCATTGTGATATCCAATCGATTAACTTTTAGATATATATCCTTGCAACAGAAATGTAAAAATATACAGGGAGGAATGCAAGATTCAATGTTTTTTTTACACCCACGACGCATAATGCAATGCTTAGAGAAAGCGTTGACAAATCATAAATATTTGCAGACTGATAAAGATGGTGGATATGATAAACACGAAAGAGTTCTTCTGTCAATCTTTTTGTTTTGACTAGAAAATTTAATCTGTAATCAAATAATACTAAACAACAGAGGAAAAGCTATTCGATAGTCCATAGAAATATGTAATAATACTCTTTTCCAAATTGAAATTCATGAAAAAACATACAATCTCCATTAAAAATAGACTAAATGAAATTTAACAGCGTTTATTTTTAAGAGTCTTTGAAATTACTGCAAATACATTAATCAGACAGACCTTTCTTTTTAGTATTTAGGAGCATATATTTGCTCATTAGATTTTTATATACCACAGAAAATATACATGACAGTCAATATTTATATTGACACTCGCAAAGCATGCGCAAAAAAATTACCTGAAATAGTAATTTAAGTTTTTTCAGCATCATGAACAAAATTTATTGCACCTTGTTTTTAATCGATTATCGTTTTATTGGTTATACGAACTATGATAATCAGTTTATCGTTATTTTTAGAAAAGATTTCATTAGTCTTATCTTCGATGTCAATGATATCGGTTGTTTTTCTTTTCTCACTATCGATATCAAATGAAATTAGCGTTGATTGATGTTCGTTGTGCCAGTATTCAAGAAAAGTATACGTATCACTATCGATCAGGGAAGAACAGACTATAGAAAAAAAAATAGAATTAACCATTGCAATACCCTTCTTTTTTTATCTTATGTTAATAACAAATATGACGATATACAGTAACGTAGAAAAATAATAGGTGGAATGTTTCGATTCTTCCTTCAACTGATAATCTAACGTTCACTTTAGATTTTATTCAGTTAGAATTAAGTCTTTCAATTTATCTTCCCTTGATGTTTCGAGAATTTATGTCACGATTTCAATTTTTCACTATCACTGACACACTTCGCTCAGTGTGAGATAAATCTAACTAAATCTTGTCGTCTGAGGTGCCTTTTATTATGTAAGTATCAAAATTCGCAGATAACAGCAATAATATACCTTATGGAGGTGATGATGATGACAAAGCAAACAATAATTGTTGGATGAATGAACTTTGTACTTTTTACTGATAGATATTGTTTTATTTATCTTTTGAGTGAGGAATAATGCAAAATTTAAAAGCCTGATAGTAGATTGAGTTTGCCAAGTTTTGTTTGAAAACACTAAGTTAGAACAATAAATATATAAGAGTAAAATTTTCTTCGGAACTTTCCATTTTTCAGATCTTCCCTTGTGGAATATTATCATGCAACGAAAAACAAACGAAAATATCTTCAGGGACTTTTTAATTCGTGTAAGTGTAAATATATGATAATTGTCTGTCCTTGATATTCTCTCAACAACACAAAGCAGCCGCCATGTTTCTACTGCATGGTATTTTGTTGATAAAAGAATGAGTAAAGAAAAAATACCCAAGTTTGTTTGGTTTCAATGTGCCTTTATCAAAAAACATCATTCTCTCTTTTTTTCTTAAAGTGAGACAAGAATCTATTATGTAGTTGTGTTCTAATTATTAGAAAGTAGAAGAAAATTATACGTGCTGATAAGTCGTGGTTGAATACGGGGTATACAGTCGCTGCGCATATGGATGAGAGAGAATATGGGTTGCAGATATTCTTCTTTCTTGATCCACATCATGACGATAAAAATGACACTTTTTTGATCATCATCAATGTTTGCTTGTTAGCGGTCGCGGTTGTCGGTGCAGCTAATAATAGTAGGAATTCTATAGAATCTTGGAATCAATAAAACACAAGTTCTGAGCTGTACTGCTAGGACAGCAATATCTGTTATCAATCCCTTTGAATAGCTAATATCAGTTTTCAAATTTTGAAGAGGCAAATTTCTTTCTTTCAATATATACATTTTAGGCTCTGATCAACAGTGACAATAAGACTTATACTTGTATGTTTTTTAAAACTTCTTATGGAAAAAGAAAATAGATTCGAAATAAATACTTCTATTTCACAACATTCCTTTTAAACTACGTAAAAAACTCATTACAACTAATAGTCATGTCAAAAATAAAGGCAGGCGGATATTTTTTAATGACTTTTTATATAAATAGGATAGACAGTTGTCTATTTAAATTACTTTTCTCATTAATGTGAACTTCTCGAGGTATCTGGACAAGAAAATTATGTATTACGAATGGATCTTGAGAACTGTTTAAGTCAAGATTAATAAGGAAGGCATTTCGCCTAGAGGTGCGATTTTCACTGTTGGAAGGCGCAGACAATAACGCCTATATCAAATTGTTTTGTCGAGGCGTTTTATGAAGCTTTTTAAATCAATTTTATTCTCATTAATTGATATAAACGTTGACTCATAATTTTGAGTACAGGATGTATAACTTCTGAACAGTAAAATACTAAAACCAGAGTATTATGCAGTTTGGTAGATCTTCGATTAGCGGTTTGAATGAATGTTTCACTGTAGGAAATCCACCGTAACTACTAACTCATGGAATATACTGATTTTTTTAAAATCACGATTTATACCCTGGGAAAAACAAAGCAAAATGATTCGAGGGTTTAACGTTTCTTTTTTATCTTTATGTAAAACTAGCTGAAAAATACCAATCTACTCTTTGAACGTCGTTGTTTTGAAGTAATAACCATGACTCATAATCGACATAGATTGTTTACTATAGTCAGGGATATCACGCGAATTATTGTTAGCTATTTGTAGACGTTCCTCACGATGAATTTTTGAATATATGAAGCTCCGAGAGAATTACCATCTTTCTTGTTAAATAAAATGTTAATAGAAAGCGTTTACTGTGAAGCACCATAGTACTTTTACTCTTGAATTGAGGTTAACAATAATTAAAATACTAACTAATTGACTTTTACCCTCTACGGTTATGATGATTAGACTGGCTACCATGTGATTGTGGTTTATGATATTGTTTTCTCCGTGACAATTCATGATAACAATAATTTGAAAGTATAACGTTTCACATTTCTGTTTAAACTTGTGATATAGAATCTTTATATCGTCTAATGTTTTTGGAATTTGATGACTGTGAATTTTAACAACCCATTGTTTTTCTCGGCCAGTAATGGCACTGGTTAATGCACCATAAGCAACGCCTCATCATTAGCAAATATCAAGAAGACATGTTTAAAAATATTAGTATATACTATTTTCAAAAAATCTAACTTA